TTATGAGTAATGCCGGACCAAGAAGGAATTGTCGGTCAACGGGGTACGTAGTTTGATCTTTTGGAAACCTTGAATGAAAAAAGTATTTGAAATAATAACAACCTCGTCTCCAAGGCTTTTTCATTAAACAACGCGAGGGGGGGCGGGGAGGGGGGAGGCCGTTCCATGTTCTAAGGGAAGGGGCATTAGGTACGAGGTTGGAACAATAAACAGAAAAATCAACAAATAACTGAATGGGCACAGGATAAAAGAAGCACCAGAGGTTAGTTATTTTGTGTATAGGCTTTCTACGGCAGTTTTTACCCGTCTAGTATCACGCTCTACATGAGGAGGGCATTGCGCTGTTACAGTGATATGGGCATCCCCGCGTTTTGGGCATCCCCATTCCCAAAACAGTAGTGTTATGGGCATCCCCTTATCATATTACCTTAGCGATATGAATTAGGGGTTTGGGAATGGGGATGCCCATATCAATGTGACAGCGCCCTTCAAGAAACGTGAAAAATCAAGGATAACAGGCGGAGAAACGGTTTAACGCAAAAGAGATTTCGCTATTCGACTCAATAAGGTACTTACTCATAGAACAAAGGACGAGCCACAGCGCTACCTAGCGTGTGCGCCTGCGCAAACAAAGTGTACAGGTATGGTATCAACAGGTAGCGGGTCAGCAGCACATTACGTGCCATTCCAGCAAAATCCGCCCCAAAGGATGCGGGGTCCTGAGACTGAAAACAAAGGAAAAGCGGGATACATGAGTATTATAAATAATTATTAGAGAACTTTAGATTCTAAGACGAGGATGACCACTAATACGCGGTTTTCTCCATACTAAGTGGTGCGCGCTCGTGAACCAGCGTCATTTTGGCTGGAAAACGTGAAGCCGTCATCATTCTACTACGAGCTTTAGCGGGAATGTCAACAAGTTATCAACGGTCAGTACCTTTCATATCAATTTCCCGATCGGGAGGGCAGTATCTTCTCTCAATACAAATAACCCTGCCAACTTTGGTGAAAAAAGGTAAAATGAAGCTTTCAGTGGTGTCTATTTTTTGAAAATAAGCGAAAAAACTTTAAGTGAAATCTTGTCCTCGCAGTCGTCCTCTTCCTCGAGTCTAAAGCTTTCTATTTTGTTTGTCAGTGTATGTTTTCAAACCTCAACTTGTTTTTCCGCTTATTTTCTGTTCTAGTGTTATTAACTCACCGTTGCGTATTTTGTATTGTGGTTTCTGGAAAAGGGGTAAAACGCACCCAGCTGCGTCCACCTTGCACAAAGTTCTTTATTTGTGTTGCCGTTAAATCCACAGATGTCTGCTCCAACAAGAGGAACGCCGAACAGATTAAAATTCAAGATTCCTAATGATTGGATGTAATAAAACATTAAATAAAGAACTATGCTAAAAGAACGCAGGCAGTCACCGTGCACAAACTAGAGACTTAACACACTACAAAAAGTGCCTGATTTCGCTCAAGGGAAATTTGTCACTATAATCTACTACAAATCTAAACGCCTGCCTTCAGCCTCGCAGATCTCAATCGTGATAAAAATGTGTTTTACTACCGTGAGGAACATAGAAGCATCACTGAAGGGAAGATACCTTTCTTACTTATTTTCCTGATAACGTTTCGTAATTTTCGCGATCCAAAAAAAAAATATCAGCGAAAAAAACTATCATGAAGGCTTTAGGTCTTGTTCTATCATTTTTATTGACGATCAATTAAAATTAGAGAAATGCTTATAATTTTGTAATGTTAAGTCACCTGGTATTGAAAGATAAAGGTCGTTAAATGTGGCGGTATTATCACCCAGCCAGTGTCCACCATGCAGGCCAGCACTGGGAAATGTTGATCGAGATATCACCACACTTCGTTTTCCTAAGAGTTTTTTAAGTGCGCTGAAAGAGACAAGGAAAAAATCACACAACGGCAGTAAACAAACAAAGCTCACTAGTCATAATCACTAGAGAGCGTTATTTATTCATCGTGACTATTTATGAATTAAATACTTTTGCGTGAATCATGAGGAAGGGGACGTGTCACCCTCATCTGTGAGGATAGTCTGAAATGTCACACGTCTCCACCCCCCTAACCCGTGGGGGCGCCGGGGAGAGAGAGTCTTTCCCTCCCCCCCTCCCCCCTCGGGTTAGAGGGTGGAGATGTACGACATTTCAGACTACTGTGAGGAGGGTATTTAACTTAAATGTGTACTTTATCCACTAAAGACGAATGTCAGTTAGAAGTCAAAACGTCGCGATCTAGGTAAAAAAAAGATACATTTTTTAAGGCCGTCTGTATCTTTCTTCTTTTAACTCATGCACAAACCTAGGAAGCTTTGTTCGTTAAAATTTTTCCCCACTGAAATAAATGATTGGTAACTGTTTCAAATGTAACCTTTTAAAATCAGATAGTCCATGCCTATTCTACACTTCCGCTTTTAACGCACTGAACATGTTACTGCTTAAAAGCGGTGAGATTTAAGTTCCCAGTGGTAAGATGTGAACAGTGAACAGACCATCTGTCTGTAAATCGTAACTTTATATGAAAGGGTTTATAAAAATTAATAAATAAATAATTCATTTATTTACCCTCGGCAGTATTTATAGCACTTTATATTCTAGTGGGGCCAAGCAAATTACTGTAACAAATAATTCAAATAAAACATAACAGGGTTAAGAATCCCAACTGGCCGGAGGCAAACCAGCTGGCNTATAAAAATCATGTTAGCATTGCTAGTGATATTGTACCTCATTGTCTGCTCCATTTCCGTGAGTCCATACAAGCTATGCACATCATAATGTGAGTAGCTATGATGTTTTGCTGACATACACAGAGTCCTTGAGTACAAGTTATCTCCGCTAACATGGGTTTTATACGGTGGATGGTCTAGTGGCGAGTTGACAGGACATCCCTTTGTAGATCCATCCAGCTCATTCGAAGGCTCGTTCATATCAATCCACAGACCATCAAATTCAACAAGATCTCTGAACTTGGAAAGCATCTGCTCCCAGTAAGCCTGTGTCCCAGGGTCAGTGAAGTCTGGGAATGCGGTCAGTCCTGGCCATACCTTTGTCAACAATTGAAAAAATATATATCTCGAAAAATTAACCCATCAGGTGTAAATCAGGTGGCGATGCTTGCAGCCACTAGTGCAAGCTACAGTGGCTACGTACCTGGTTTTTAACATATTATTTTACAGTGTCCCCCATTAGCTTATAGCTAAAAACATAGACACTTAAATAAAGTTTTCATTCATTCATTCAAACTAGTCGATTATTGCCCAAAACAGGACGATCACCGACACCGGCAACGAACTTTGAAACGCAGAAACAAACAAAACAGAATCAATCACAAATCACAAACCATGACATTTTGAGCTCGTTCAAGGAAACATGTGTTACCTAAGAGGTCCGCTAAGATGATTAACGGAACAGAAAAACCCAAAATTACTTCGAAGTTTTTTTTATTTTGTTTCCTTCTTTTTCTTTGCTTTTTGTTTGAATCTTTTTAATTGATAAAACACCAGCTGCGAACGTTTTTTGATGAATGAAAAGACGACAATTTCAATATCAATGTTGGCTAAAGTACCTGGAAGTTTCAATCGTTACCAGACCTTCCAACCCTTAAAAGATACAAATCTGGAGTGTTTGAAAAAAAGCCCCCAAGAACCTGGAAATTTCCAAAATACGTTTCAAACAAAACCAAAAACGCAGATTATTTTTGTCATGGTATTCTTTATCCTATTAATGGTCTCTGTTGTACTGTCTCGTTGCTCTTTTGGCAGTAATGAGAATATTCTTTTTTTGTTATCCAGTTCGACAGGACGGCTATTAGCCAAGTGAGTATGCTATACTGAGGGCTTTCCCACAGACCCTAGCGAACCTATGTTTTACGGGAATGAAGTTGAAATTGGACTCAGGTTTCCCAAAAAAATTATTCGTCCGTTATGAAGACGGTTTTTTGAAAATACGCAGTTCCTACTGTAATTGTCTGGCAATTTTAAGATTTTCTGATTCACCGTGATTCACCGCCAAATAATCATCTTCTCTCTCTCTCTCTCTCCCTTTTTTTTTCTTTCTTTCGTTTTCGTTTGTATCATTTAATAAGAGATAGATTTAGACCAATAAACCTGCTCAAAAATATATGGAAACTGCAATAATTAGTAGATTATATTTCAGTTTGCGTTTATAATTACCTTGCCAATGAAAGTTTCGCCAGTCGATGAATTAATGAAAACGCCCATCTCAAGTCCAACATCATATGGCGGATAAGAACCCCTTGCTTGAGTGGAACTTATGCCAGGATCCTGAGATAGAAAAGAAATTATAGATGTCAAGTCACTGAAAATGAAGCAAAAATTTACCGTAAAATTCCGAAAATAAGCCCCGGGGCTTATATTTTTCAAAAGGCCCCTTTTGAGGGGCTTATTTTTGGAGGGGCTTATATTCGGAGGGGCTTATCTACGGAAGGAAACTCGCGTTTCAAAATCGATTGGGCTAGCCTTATAGTTGGAAGTAAATTTACTGTTCTTGCTCTGTTTTACTTTGTATTTGAGGGACATTTTCCAAGTACAAGCCCCCGGGGGGCTTATATTTGGAGGTGCGATTTAACGCAGGGTTTTTTTTGTGTTACCAGTTTGGGGGGCTTATATTTGGAGGGGCTTGTACATGGAGGGGCTAATTTTCGGAATTTTAGGGTATCTCCACAAAAGGTCCTTGCTCTCTTTTTTTATCACTAATAAAATGATGGAAAACAAAGTTTTTGGTCTCTGACTGTCTCTAGGTCTTCAAAGTCAATCCAATCCGTGAGAGATTCTAGTCTCCTCCAGTGAGCAGAACTGTGAGCCGCCATTTTGGATCACGTATTACTTTAGTCTGTTCAAAATAAAAATGGCGGGAGGCCAAAAAGGTTTCTTCGTTTAAGGAAAAAACAGAATGCAAGAAAAGGAATGGAAGGCCTAGACGTCTATGTTGCCTAAGATATGCTCTTATGTTACAGAACAGTCTAACAACATAAAATTATTTTAACTTTAATTAAACCACAAAAAGATGGAAGAAATTGTAGTAGAAAAGACATTTAACAACGATGCAGTCAAAGCCAACACATCTTTTACTGCAAAGATGAAGATTTTTGTAAAAAATACTTAAGAGTAGCCTGAATTTCAGCCGTCGCCCCGCAAACTCCCAAAAGAGAGTTTGCGACTCTAGAAGATCGCTGAAATTAGGGGGCTAACTTAGACTAGAGCAACTCACCACAATTGGAATGTAATGTTGATGATATTGGCCATGCAGTTTCTTTACAAAATCTCCTAGACCTCCCCAGTTGTTATTGTCAACAGTAAAGTCCAGATGCCTATCCATATACTCAATATCATTCCACTGAACATCCTGCGGAATGCCATATTTCCTCATGTTGTCATTCACTGTCATAGTGCCATTTAAACTTCCATATCCCCAGCGGCAAAGGTGGAATCCCAGACCCCAGTACGGGGGCATATATGGGCGGCCAACCACCTGAAGAGAAAAATATTGATATTAAAGCTCAATTTGTCGATAAACGTGAACCACGATTGGAGGCAAGTATAAAGTGGAACTCTTACAGTGTATGTCAAATATTATTGCATAATACAAAACAACAATTAAAAGACTCAAAAATTATGAAGTACTTTTGACACAATTGCGCGTCAGAAGCGTTCAACGTAAGTTGAAGTAGTCACCCTGCGAGCAGAGCTCGAGAAAAGGAGACTGCCTGAATCACGTCCCTGCAAACCTTCGAGGTCATCGCAGCCCGAGCTTCAGGACTAGCCAATCTTGTTCTCGTCAAACGGGATTTTCGAGTGCGAGCATTCGTTTATTGATCTAAACCGACGGTCGTAACCCGCTGTAGCAAGCGCATGGATATTAAGCCTGGGTTTTAAACTATATCCTAGCAACATGCCGCGCATTCTCAACAAAGATCTTACTGCATTTATGCAGAGTCTTTCTAGAGCACGCTAAAATCAAG